TGGCTCCCAAGGTGGTTTGATTTTTGTTGAAAGGATAAAATGGCTCTTCTTAACATTTATGTTGCCGACCCCTGGCTTATAACTTCAACGTGAAGTAGGCTGAATTTGCAGATGTATGACATCACAAAAACAATCAATTTAAAAACGAGCTGTTTGCAGCTTAGTTTTCATATTTGGACTGTATGGATCAGGGAGCGAACAGTATGTTTAGCATAATTTGCATACTTCATCAAACTCTTTTATTTTAAGGAAAATTCTATTTTTAGTGATTTGGGCCCTTTGAGTTAAAGCAGCCAGTCTTTTTGTGAACAGTGAATTCTTGTGCCAATTAAAATGACACCAGGTCAATTACACCACCAAAGCCTATGACCATGTATGTCATTAGGTCAGTGGTTCCCCTGAGAGGACCGGTTTGAAACCTACTGCATTTGGTGACATACAATGCAGAGTCAGAGGAAACGCTTCCGGAACTGACCGGATGACACAGGAAAAATCTCCCCTAAGAAACGGGCATGCGACATTGGAAAAACTACAGCCGATCTGACGTCCAACTGGACGTTCGTCAATCCTCACGGCTGGAGCTATTTATTACTTGAAGCGGGGAAAACTGTTTACTGCAGCACACGGCTCAGTTTCGCATAGCTGGAGAGGGGAGGGAGGGACACAGGCCGCCCCCTGCCCCAATTAGGCCCCTAGCCTGCGGGTGAGAGCTTTCCATTAGGTCAAACAAATAAGTCAGACTCTCTGCATGACCCAGGAGTGGACGCCAGAGGAGGGGGAGAGACGCTGCTACTATTTCCCCGTGATGAAACCGACAGCTAGGGTTTCACGCCTGCCCCCATGCACGGAGAGGGCTTTTCCTCGCTGTCCCCAGCACTGTCCATCTGTAAACATCTACAGACTTGTAGCTTCATGAGTGCGGTAGCTGAACACAGAGCTCACTGAGGCCTATTTGTAACAGCAGTGCAAAAAGTAGTGTAGGTCATTTCTCAGACATTAATATTCGTTTTACATATTCGTTGTTGCAGAACACAATGGAAGTGGCCTGGGCTGGAAATAGATCTAGAGTTTTCCTTCCAAAGTGATGCAAATGTAGAGTTGTGGTGCTCTCTGACAGACTAATACCTGTCTAGCACTAAATCAATGCAAAAACAGTTTTGCAGTTTCTCACACTTACAGTCATATGGAAAGGTTCGAACACCCGTCTGGGGTCTGAGGGCATTTGCCCAATTTGTGCATATCTTCTTAAATTCTCCTTTAAAGGTTCTTCATATAACATGATACTCATATGACTCATATAAAATGCTCCGTTATCTTCATCACTACTTTCCAAAACCTTTATGCAAAAGCTTTGTCACGTGTCTTTGAGCTGCCAGAATGACGGCACGCCTTCAGAACTGTAACCTCCTCATTCCAAACGTCCAGCATGCTGGACATCTTTGTCTCAAGTATTCTCGCTCTATAAAAGCAAATACACCGATCAGGCATAACATTCTGACCACCTCCTTGTTTCTACGCTCATTGTCCATTTTATCAGCTCCACTTACTATATAGGTGCACTTTGTAGTTCTACAGTTACAGACTGTAGTCTATCTGTTTCTCTCCATACTTTCTTAGCCCCCTTTTACTCTGTTCTTCAGTGGTCAGGACCCCCATGGACCCTCACAGAGCAGGTACTATTTGGGTGGAGGATCATTCTCAGCACTGCAGTAACACTGACGTGGTGGTGGTGTGTTAGTGTGTGTTGTGCTGGTCTGAGTGGATCAGACACAGCAGTGCTGCTGCAGTTTTTAAACACCTCAGTGTCACTGCTGGACTGAGAATAGTCCACCAACCAAAAATATCCAGCCAACAGCGACCTGTGGGCAGCATCCTGTGACCACTGATGAAGGACTAGAGGATGACCAACACGAACTGTGCAGCAGCAGATGAGCTATCGTCTCTGACTTTACATCTACAAGGTGGACCGACAAGGTAGGAGTGTCTAATACCTTTGTGGATATTATAAATATGGAACTTTCAACTGTAAGGGTCCGCGGTGCTAGCTAGAGGACCATGAACACTTTGGGAGGTGCAGCTAAGAGGATTGGTTACTGATTGGGAAATCTGTCTAATTTCTAGCAGCATTATTGTGTTATTGCAGCTGGTACTATATTATATTTGTATACTGTACTGGTTTGTTTTGTATTACTTGATATCTCAATGGGATTTTTTTCCTTAATCATTGGTAAATTGATGGGTGCGATGTGGGTGGGGAATGGTGGGGTGAGGGGGGGCTGGGTGCTCCATTTAGTTGTACTACTTGTTATTTTCTTTGCTTACTGTATTTGACTACATTGGAGTTTTATCTTAAAAATAAAACCATTTGATCACAAAAAGAAAAAAGAAAAAACTTAAGAAGATATTGAATGTTATGGAAGTCCAGAGAGGAAACAAGGTAGTTCTGATTTTCTGGATAACGAGTTTATTATCTTGTTATCTCGAGATAACAAAAGATGTTATATCGAGATAACAAAGTTGTTGTGATCTTGACACAACAAAGTGTCTTGAAATAACGACTTAATTATCTTGTTTTTTGAGATACAAAGTATCTTGAAATAATAAGTTATCTTGTTATCTTGAGGTAAAGTATCTTGAAATAATAAGTTAATTATCTTGTTATTTTGAGATAAAGTTATCTTGAAATAATGACTTAATTATCTTGTTATCTTGAGACAACAAAGTATCTTGAAATAATGATTTAATTGTCTTGTTTTATGAGATAACAAATTATCTTGAAATAATAAGTTAATTATCTTGTTATCTTGAGGTAAAGTATCTTGAAATAACGAGTTATCTTCTTATCTTGGGATAACAAAGTTGTTATCTTGAAATAAGTTAATTATCTTGTTATTTTGAGATAAAGTTATCTTGAAATAACGAGTTAATTATCTTGTTATCTGGAGACAACAAAGTATCTCAACATAACGAGTTAATTATCTTGTTATCTCGAGAAAACATCATTATCTTGAAATAACAAGTTAATTATCTTGTGATCGCAAGATAACAAAGTTGTTATCTTGAGATCACAAGATAAGCAACTCGTTATCTCAAGAAATAAACCAGAAAATCAGCAACAGCTCATGGCCTCTCCGGACTTCCGTAGAATGAGGCCCATTGCTTATTTTTAAAGTGTCCAGTCTCGGACTGAGGAGGCCACTGCATCACCACAGATCATAATTACCATGTCAAGCTCGTTACAATAGCAGAACCCTTTTTGGTGCTATATAGAACCATTTTCAAAAAGGTTCTCTGTAGAACACATTCTCCACCAATCTGAAGAACACTTTCACCCTGCAAAGAACCACTGTCTTCACTAAAGAACCCTTTAAGGACCATCCAAGCGTGTATTAAAGCGAGGAGGCATCATCAGTTTAAACGCTGCTGAAACGAGCCGCTCATTAATCTCAGTCTTCCTCCTCTCGGAGTGTCACTGAACACCCGGTCAACAGAACCGGCCAACCGGAGCGCGCGCAGGCGCCCCGCAGGCTCTGAGAACGAGGCAGAACTCCGCGGCGCTCGCGCAGTGGAGTCTCGTGAATTTGAAGATCTCATTTCCTCGCGCTTAAAATAGAGCCGGAGGATCTTGTTTACGCTCGCGACGACGACGCCCCGCGGTTGCTAAGAGACGAGTGGAGCTCCACAGCGCGGGAGAGCCAGTGGGAGTCCGCGCAGAGGACATTAACCCCTCAGTGACCAGCAGGGCGGTTTAAAGCGCTTCACTGTGTTTCAGACGGTCTGAACTTCAGCGCGTTTAGAACTCATCAAACTAACAAACACGTTTTAGCAAAACGATAAAAATTCCAGATTTTATTTTGAATAAAAGTATGAGAAGTTATTAAAAGTCAATCTGTCTGTCTGTCTGTCTGTCTGTCTGTCTGTCTGTCTGTCTGACTGTCTATCTATCTGTCTGTCTGTGTATCTGTCTGTCCATCCGTCATTCCGTCTGACTGTCTGTCTATCTATCAATCTGTCTGTCTGTCTGTCTGTCTATCTGTCTATCTATCTATCTATCTATCTATCTATCTATCTATCTATCTATCTATCTATCTATCTGTCTGTCTGTCTGTCTTTCTGTCTATTTATCTGTCTATCGATCTGTCTGTCTGTCTGTCTGTGTATCTGTCTGTCTATCTGTCTATCTGTGTATCTGTCCATCCGTCCGTCCGTCTGTCTATCTATCAATCTGTCTGTCTGTCTATCTGTCTGTCTGTCTGTCTGTCTGTCTATCGATCTGTCTGTCTATCTATCTATCTATGTATCTATCTATCTGTCTATCTATCTGCCTATTTATCTATCTATCGATCTGCCTGTCTGTCTGTCTGTCAATCTGTCTGTCTATCTATCTGTCTGTCTGCCTGTCTTTCTGTCTATTTATCTGTCTATCGATCTGTCTGTCTGTCTTTCTGTCTATTTATCTATCGATCTGTCTGTCTGTATGTCTGTCTATCTGTGTATCTGTCTATCTATCTGTCTATCTGTCTGTCTATCTATCTGTCTGTCTGTCTATCTGTGTATCTGTCTGTCTGTCCATCCGTCCGTCCGTCTGTCTGTCTGTCTGCCTGTCTGTCTGTCTGTCTGTCTGTCTATCTAACTAATGCTCAAACTAACAAACTAACTTTTTTTGAGAACCATAAACACTCAAAGAACCCTTTGCGTGATTAAAGGGTTCTTTGCATTGTGAAAGAGTTCTTCAGATTGATGGAGAATGTGCTGCAGATGGTTCTACATAGAACCTTTCTGAAAAGGGTTCTATATAGCAGCAAAAAGGGTTCTAGCACCAGATAAGCTTGACATTGTAACAATAGAAGAGTCCTTTTTGGTGCCTTTAGTCATGCAAAGTGTGTTCATGGTTCTATATAGAACCATATTCTGTACTAAGAACCCTTGAAGAACCATCGAGTGTAGGCCTGGACAATAGGATAATGTAATGTATAGGATAATGTAAATAATGTAATCGGATATAGAACCAGTCTCTGGTTCTCGCCTGTCCACCCCGTTCTTAGAGTTCTAGCTACGCCGCTGCTCGGTTCTAACTCTGTGTGCGCGGCTCCACATCTGGAAATCTTGAGAGGAGGAGAGAATCCCTCTCTCCCTCTCTCCGTCCCCCGAGACGTGCTGCTGACGTCAGGGGCGGAGGGAGGGCGGGAGGGGGGCGGAGCCGCGCGAGCGGAGGTATTTCCCTGGTTTATAAAGCCGCGGAGACCTCAGCGCTGTGAAGCAGTGCGTCACGACCACCCCAAACCTCAGGCCGCCTCTCAGAGCCTCACAGTGTGAAGAGTCCGAGCTGAGACCGAAGACGCGGAGTATGCGCGCTCTCTGCGCCGGGCACGCGCTTTCTCTCTGAAAGAGACGCTTCTTTATTGTTGTTGTTTTGTTGCACTGGGTTTTTCGGGAGTTCAGCAGCTGTACCGAGGCTGACGGCGCGCAGTGGACGGGTCAGCTTCACCTCAGAGGAGAGCTCGAGCTTCTCTCAGCCAGCATGAAAGCAGCAGAAGAAGGTAACGGCTCCTCTGCTCGGTCACTTCAGCGCGCTCCTCTGTTTGCTGCTCACCTGCAGGGCGCTGGCGGTGAAAGTGACGCGCTGGGCTCGCGGTGAGGTGCTGAAAGGCGTTGCCTTTGGGCGCTGGGTCCGCGTGGGCAGCAGAGCTCAGCGCGGGGAGGGGCGCGCGCGCTGAGGGCTGGTAGGCGTGCTCCACGAGCAGACGTGGACCATAGCTCGCGCTGTTTCGCGAATTAATGACAATAACTAGTCTAGGGATGCACTGATATGGTAATGATGCAGCGATGCTGATATCCGATATTTTTCATGGACATATTTTTGATACCGATACATGAACAGTTAGAAAATGTGTGTATATTTATATATATATAAATATGTGTGTGTGTGTGTGTGTGTGTGTGTGTAAATATATAAAATCTATATATTATATATATCTAATATATGTATATCGCTGATGTTGGAATAAAACCTTGTATCTCCAGAATGGTAACTTTACAGGAGAAGGAAAAAACCTACTTTACTTTTAATGTAAGTCAATGGAACCAGAGTTTTTTCCAAGTCATTTTGGGTCATTTCATTTGGTCCATTCATCATGAAATAAACACACAATGTAAAGAACAACAGGCATTTTCAAAATATGTCAAAAACTGAAAAACGACAAAAATGGAGATACGAGGTTTTGTTCCGACAGCAGCGATATATATACACATATATATATGATTTTGTAAGGGAAAATACATTAATACTGATGCATAATGTTTATTTGCTGAAATGCATAAAATATGGCCTGTGCAAAAGTTATGGCACGTTTTATATTTTTAGCAATTACATAAAAATTAGGCACTAAAATTAGCAGAAAACGCCATCTGTATTAGCACAGTAGCCCAACATCGTCTGTGCAATAAATACGTCAATCAGTGCAGCCTAAACCATCTAAATAGTCTGATACTGTTCATTTTTTAATCTCTTCCTACAACATTTCACACTTTGGCCACTGCAAATGCAGAGCCTGTTGCTCGAGTGGCCACTTACGTAGATTTTTTTTGCATTCTTCTCCTCTTTTGTCGGACAGAACTAATCAGACAAAACAAATTTTGTACAAATTTGTGAACCATAATCGTCACGATAGCTAACATGAAGGTGTGGTGACTGTGGTGGTCCTGCTTGTCTAACTGGTCCATCTGGAGTCATAGATGTTGTTCCACTGGCTGAAGTTGGCTTTACAGCTCTATAAAATAAGCTCTTAAATAAACAATGTGTTAAACAAGCTGGTGTTACAGCGAGAGTGCAGTAGCTAAATATGTAACCTAGATCGGATGGCGCCTGGGTGGTCCAGCTCAGAAGCGGGGGCCACCATGGCCGCTGCACCAGCAGTGTTCTTATTCATGCAAAATTAAGCAGCATCTGACCCGTTTTTAGTACTGAAACTGGCTTGTTAAGTGTAAATACAATGTATACGATGAACATGTTTGTGTTCTATTGTTATTGACCACAAGACCGATTAGTTTGGTGGCCTGAGTGGCCGGTGCAACTTCTCATATCCTCTGATTGATACCGATACGATTCCGATGCCATCGTGCATCCCTATTGATTATGATTCATACAGCTGGTTTGGAGTTCAGACAGTTGAAATTGTGTAATTTTCCACCCAGTCGACGCAGTTCTCTGCTCTAGAATCCCTTTTCGTAGTTTCTCTGGTTCAAATGCTGCTTGTTAAGTTGCTGCTCCTCCTGAGTTCATCCAAGGGAGCTCGTGGCGCTGTGCGGTTTGCTTGGAGACTGTTATTAATTTTCTCTTGAGCGCTGCACACATGAAAGCGCATAATTTATTTCAGACAAAGGCGCTCGTGGCTCAGTTCAGATCACAGAGCTCCAAATTTCTCTTGAGCTGCACAAACTGCAGCTCCAGAAACTGCTTTAGGTTTTCCCTGCACTCTTCCAATTCCTCCCCACGATACTCTAAGACAGCAGGGTTCACACCATGAGCAATCCTCATGTGACATTTCAGGCTGCTGTGGAGTTCATGGTATGTGATTTTTTTCACTTTTTATTTCTAATAAATACACACTGTAGTTTGAGATATGGAGGCAGGCACTGAGTGTCTCTACATGCACTGAATAATCTTATAACTGCAGAAAATCAGATTTAGTCAGCAGTCTTATCAACACGTTTACATGCTCTTGAGTAATCAGATAATGTGGAAACTCTGGGTCTACATGAGTCAGACAGTAATCAGATTTCTGATTTCTGAAAAAGATTTTCTTTACAACCAGCCAATAAATTCACAGATGAAGACGTGACGTAAACGAAACATGCCACAGATTTTTTTTTCATTGCACCACTTTACCTGAAAATATGAACATACATCATTTAGAAGATGAAGAATATTTAAATCCTTCATTTCGTCAAGCATGTAGCTTCAGCTTCGCTCCAAAAGTGTTTTGCTGCCATCTTGTGGAGACGCTGCTCGCTTATTTCCGGTACCGCGGTCTGTTTTCACACATGCACTGAGAAATCTGATTACTGAGCTAAAATCCAGCCTTTTTATTGGATAATCAGATTTCTAGACCTTACTCTGACCTAAGAAATCAGAGTGTGCTGTTTACAAGACCATTTGTATAATCAGATAACTGCAGAAATCTGATTATGATCTGATTATTGAGAATCTTCAGAACTTTTCCAAACTAGTTTTTCTCTCCTCTTTTCCTCTGTTTCTACCAAAAGTTTGACTTATTATCTTGAAATAATAGTTTCTCAACACTTCGACTTAGTATCTTGTAACAACAGCATATTTTGACTTGACCTGAAAAGACTATGGCAAAATATGACTTACTACTTTGAATGTCTGACTCAAATACTTAAAAATATTGACTTACTATGTTGAAATAATTACTTAGTGTCATAACTTTGACTTGCTATGTTAAAATGACTTCTTTTCTCAAAATATTGACTTACTATAACAAAAATAATGACTTGGTATCTTGTTATAATGACTTGTTGTGTCGTTATTATGTTAATAATGAATTCAAAAAATAATTAATATTTAATTTAAAAATGACTTAATATCTTGTAAATAACTTTGACTTACTATATCAAAATAATGCCTCAGTATCTTGAAATAATGACTTACAGGGTTAAAATAATGAATTCAAAGAAAAAATACTTACTGAAAACTCATTAATTCAACATGGTATCTGAAAAAATTGCAAAAATAAGTAATTACTTCGAGAAAGTCAATGTTTTAACATACAGTTGCCAGAAACAGAGAAGGCCCCAATGTGGTGCAGGTGGGCTTCCACAGAAAGCGGAGTGCATGCAGGCTTCCCTGTTGTCTAATTCTTCCTCCATACTTTGAGCCTAAACTGACTGACCTTGGTCTCAGTCGCTGTGGTGAGTGTGTGTATCAGTTTTCCATCTGTTTTTTGTGCTTGTGGAGGTATTTTTAACACACGGTTATTTTTGGCCTGGTATTTTTTGTATCTGTCACCTTACTTCCTATACACAGGCCACAGCTTTCAGCAAGGATTTCAGTGCTGGGCTGCTTCGTCAGTGCCAAACTGCAGATAACGAGGATATATTCACTCATTATCAGCTTTTGTAGTGCTGTCCTTCCTAAAATTCAACACTGTGTTTGATACAATGCAGTGTTGTTTTGATTCAATACATTTTGCAATATAGCAAAAGTAAAGAGTGGCTAACATATTAGCCCCAAGCTAAGGCACTAGCTACAAGCTAACGTGCTACTCACAATACAACAACACAATAATATTCACTGCAATATACACCGATCAGGCATAACATTATGACCACCTCCTTGTTTCTACACTCATTGTCCATTTTATCAGCTCCACTTACTATATAGGTGCACTTTGTAGTTCTACAGTTACAGACTGTAGTCCATCTGTTTCTCTGCATACTTTGTTAGCCCCCTTTTACTCTGTTCTTCAGTGGTCAGGACCCCCATGGACCCTCACAGAGCAGGTACTATTTGGGTGGTGGATCATTCTCAGCACTGCAGTAACACTGACATGGTGGTGGTGTGTTGTGTAGTGTGTGCTGTGCTGGTACGAGTGGATCAGACACAGCAGTGCTGCTGGAGTTTTTAAACACTGTGTCCACTCACTGTCCACTCTATTAGACACTCCTACCTTGTCAGTCCACCTTGTAGATGTAAAGTCAGAGATGATAGCTCATCTGCTGCTGCACAGTTTGTGTTGGTCACTTATTTTGCTGAGTTTACCATATTGGAAAAAGTAAATCGTAAAATTTTGCACATTTTATGTGTATTTTCATGAGTTAGTTAAGCGTGCATCTGAGTCGAGTTGTGAGTCAGGTCAACAAGCGAAAGCGACTCAAGTCTGAGTTGCTTATTCGAGTCATCATCTCTGGTTCAGACTAATGGTCAGCAACGTGGTTGGGTGTCTGCCAAGTAGGATTAAAGTTTACTTCAGTGGACACCACAGTACAGCATCGTCACCACTGTATGATACAACAGGAAATCAGAGAGAGAAGTTGGCAGTCAGAGAGATGTAGATGAATACCTGCAGCGCAGGAGGCCATTTTCTCTCCAATATGTCAAATAAACAACAAATAAACAGTAACTCTGCATGGAAATTAGCAGAAGTGTGATCTTCTTAGAGGGTGCGTTCACTTATTTTCACTCAGAAAATCAACAAAACGTACGTTTGACCAGGGCGCCAAAACTTTTGCACGACCAGTTATTCAAATTCCCAAATAATCACTATTAATTCATTTAGAAGGTAAATTTGAATCAGTTTAATTGATTGATCGTGACAACTGTCTCCACAGATGCATACAGCTACACACCAAATGTCACCCTGTCCCTCCCACTGAGCACCTGCCTACCCACCCAGTACCACAACCTGCAGACCAGCCCCTCCATCTCTGTCTCCATCAGCCAGCCCCCCTCCTTCTCTCCCCAAGAAGACATGGGCTCGGTGGGATACTACCAGTCCTCTGGCTCTGGCCCCAATGGAGCCCCAGCTCTAGAGAGCCCCCGCATTGAGATCACGGCCTACAGCCAGTTCCCTGAGGACGAGGTGGAGGAGAGCAGTGTGCCGGTGGCCAAGAGGGTCAACTCCATCGTGACCTTAACGTTGCCCAGTGCTGATGGTTATCGTGACCCCAGCTGCCTGAGCCCAGCTAGCAGCGTTTCATCCCGGAGCTGCCAGTCAGATGCCTCTTCGTACGAGTCAGGCTACTCGTGCAATTACGACAACTCGCCGCAAAACTCTCCCTGGCAGTCTCCGTGTGTTTCGCCCAAAGGTTCTAACTCACTCTTGTCCAGCACCGTCGGCACCTCGCCCCGCCACTCGCCCTCCGGGTCCCCCCGCACCAGCGTGACTGATGACAGCTGGATTGGCTCTCGTGGCTCGCGCCCAAACTCCCCTTGCGGGGGCAAGCGGAAGTACAGCTACAACAGCGGCGCCGCACACAAGTACCATCCGTACTCTCCAAACCAGTCACCAGGTCCGTCACCGCAAACCTCACCTCGGCTCAGCGTGACCGAAGACACTTGGCTGCCCACCAACCAGTACACCAATTCTGCCATCGTGGCAGCCATTAATGCCCTCAGCACAGACGGAATGGCAGAACTCGGGGAGGGGATCCCGCTGAAGACCAGAAAAACAAGCCTGGAACACAGTGCTTCGATGAACCTCAAGATCGAGCCTGGAGGGGAGGAGATTGGCTCTGCGGAGCTCTGCCACGAGGATTACTCCGCTTCACGGCTGCCGTTCAAGAAGGAGAGCTATGCTGGCTTTTTGGATGTACCTCAGCATCCATATTGGTCCAAACCAAAGCCATATATCAGGTAAAGTTCTTGTGTTTTGAGTCAGTCTTTGAGTGTTTTGAGTGGCGTAACTGCCAGTGCAGGTGGAGCAACAGCATTGGGGCCTGTAGGAACCTCAACAACTAAATAGAGTATCAACATTTTTAGCATTTAGTGTGTTCACTTATTGCCTTTGTTACAGCGTCCATTCCGTTTGGAAGGCTCAGTTTCAGTTTTTCAAAGAAATCTGTGGGGACGTTTTTCCACACCTTCAAAGTTCAGTCTTAGAAGTTAGTTGCACTTTTAGGTACTCATCATCCAGATAGTCCCAAATTACAAATTTAGGCTCACCAATCCATAAACCCTTATTTCACATCTAAGCTGTCTAGTTTTGGTGTTCTAGTGGAAATGTTCTTCTTTGGTGTCTATTTCCTTTTCTCAGTGAGGTTCTTCTTGACAGCTACACATCCTTTCAGACCCATAGCGCTGAGTCGTCTTCTCACAGTGGAAGGATGGATGTGGATGTTTCAGATCTGAAGCAGCTTGATTTTCTCCTCTCTCTCACAGATCAAAGCTTTAAGTGCTGTTTATCTGATAGGGACAGTTTTGATGGTTTACCTGATTTCCCTGTTTTTCCCTTTATTTTCTTTAGCTCCTGAAAAAAATGAATGATTAGTACTTAATTGTTGCTTTTACTAGAAATTAAATAAATGAAGGGTGGTCTCTGACTGTCCTTTACTCATTAGCCTACATTAAATTACAAGCTTAGCTGACGTACCAGTAGTGAGTAAACAAGCAAATTACATCATCTTTTTTCAAAGAATTGAAATTAATTTATCATATTAACTGTTTTTTGCGTTAAGCCCATAAGATTTATTTGTGCCACTGCAGCTCTCAGATTTTTTTAGAGCACATTTGTCACAAAGCCCAGTGATCAACCCGGCCAACAGGCCATTGGTTTAAATCCAAACTGATAACAAGCTGCTATTCCAGTGTCCCTCACCAGTTACCATTGTTTATGTTTCTATTCCTTCATTAATGATATAAAGCATTTATTTAGATGATTTATCTGACCAACACCCTTCCACTGTCCCTCTCTGATCTTTAGCCCGTCCTTGCCAGCTCTCGACTGGCAGCTTCCCTCCAGTTCTGGGCCGTACAGCCTGCAGATAGAGGTTCAGCCTAAATCTCACCACCGTGCCCACTATGAGACAGAGGGGAGCCGAGGGGCCGTGAAGGCGCTGGCAGGAGGGCATCCTGTGGTGCAGGTATTCATCTACATCTCGCTGACTGTCCGCTTCTCTCTTTAATATCCTGTTGTATCACACAATGGAGACCATCCTCCTGTGGTGGCCACTGAAATAACCTTTAATCAACACAGACTTGAGTCGCACTCGAGTTGCTTGTTGACCTGACTCACAACTCAGCTCAGATGTTCGCTTAACTAACTCACGACTCGACTCAGACTCATGCTTACCTGACTCGTGACTCCACCTGGACTCATGCTTAACTTACTGTGACTCGACCCAGATGCTCGCTTAACTAACGTATGAGATTAAGGCAGATCAAATTTTTGCCAGAGAAAACAAAATATGATAGAGATATAAATATAGATAAAGAGATAAATAAAGACTGAACTAGGGCCGCCAATCTTAATGCAGTAAACAAATAAAACCTTTTGTTTCCAACTTTATATGTCAGTATGGGGTTTGAGGACATTGCATTATGGGTATTGTAGTGAACTTACGTTATTACCTTGGCAACTGTAGTCAGTAGTGCAATTTAAAATCCTCTTGTTTTCTCTTTTTCTCTTCGTCGCTTTTTGTTTTTTTGTGCAATGCGTACTAAGTACGTCACCAACATTTCAGTCCAACTTTTGTAAATAGGGAAGTTCCTAAGCACAGAAGAACAAACACAGTTAACATAGGTACAAAAACATAGGTAAAAAAATAAATAAGACAATAGCTTAAGGGGTAACATCCAATCAGCTACTTGTTTATATGCTGTTTTAATTTGACGGTGTGACACCACTGGTTGTTTTTTAGAGTCCCTCTACAAGTGGTGAACTGTGATTGTTATACCTTGGAGGTAAATATAAAAAAAATTCAAAAACAAAAAACAAAAAAAAAAACACTATACAAAAGCCAATTTCTGCTAGCATCCCTATGGTTTTCCAGTAGTATGTTAGTTCTAAGCTGACAATGATTCACATGAACATTTTTGGACGTTCCAGATTTAAACATAAGCATTTGAGGCTTATAAATGACATTCCATATGTTTTATTTGAAGCCTGTAACAGACATTAACATATATGTTACCTTGTATGAGTGTTACAGTCAGTGTTTCAGTAAAGAGTCCTGGCAGAGAGCTGCCAGTGCAGCTTTCCATTCCCAACAACTGACTGAAACCTGGTTAGATTACTACACATACTCACAGTAAGTGATGTATCTAGAACTTCCACAAGGTCTGGAGCGACATTTTTTCTTACAGAATTGCTCCAGTTGTAAATCAGAATGTCTCTTCCTATTTATGTTAGCAGTTAATCTAAAATGTAAGGCCTTCTGTCCAGCTCCTGAGGTCCTAATCAATGGGGGAGCTCACTTAGCTGTATATACTTAGATACGACCAAGGAAGAAATACTGATCTGACAATCATCTGTTGGGCATTTAAAGATTTTAACCCTTTTGTTTCTGACCAAAAAGGTAACAATAAAACACAAATAGTGCTACAATGAAACAAGTGTGCTATAATACAAGAGTTTGAATACAAGCTTGATGTAAAAATTACTGACAGTTTATTTTACAGCAATGATTAGACCTTCTGTGAAGGCCACGAAGGCTCCGCTGCTCTCTACAAAGTTTATAGGGTTTTAGAAATACTGCCGATGTGCTCAAGGAAGCGTATTATCACATAAATTATTGTAGCAGCAATAGCACATCATATGTTTCAAATTCAGGGGCGCATTTCTTACAGTTAAATGTCCTGTTAGGCACAGATTATTTGGGCTGAAAGCAAAGAACTCCAAAACACTCTAGACAGTCCAGACACCGTTGACGTTCAGCAGCGGCTGTTCAGGAGCTGGCCGTATGTTTTAGCAATAACACAGCGCTAAAACTCGGGGGAGTGGGTGAAATACTTCAGGTATTACACAAGACCGCAAAGTCTTGACGACAGCACAGTCCAGTCAGTTCCGTAACAGACGCTGGTGACTCATCCGTCTCCTGTGATCTTACTTCTCGCTCATGGAGGCTGGCCATACCACTTGGGCAAAGACCATCATGAATGGAGGGCATAAGTCATACAGGACAGAAGCACGGTTGTCAGTAGCCGAGAATTTTGACCACACACGACTTACGGTATCATAACCAGAGCCGCGCTGTACAATACACAAGACACAAAGGGGAGCTGGCCTGGCGTCTGCTGAAACGCTCCCCTCCGAACACCTCTGTTTACATCTGCTCTGGCTGGATACTTCAGTTCAGCGTGATGAAGTGCTAATGATGCTAAGCACATGGCTCTCCTGTGAAAAACCCAGCCGTTTCTCTCAAACCCCCCACCTTTTTCTCGCGCTCGCCGCAGTTTCCGCCCGGCACACAGGCCGCCTTTTGTTTAGTAAAAGTTCCCAGTGCGGCGCTGACATCATGGGGGCGGGCGCACAGTGGAGGCGG